CTGTTTGCATGCTTTGGCTTTCTACCTCCAGGGGACATATTTTTTGAATTCCAAACATTAAAATTATTATGGGGTTCCAGGTTGGTTCATGTGATCACTTGAACCAATCAAATTTTTTTGTATTTATTTGCTCCTCACTCTTGCTTTTGATGGTTCTTCATCCACAGATTTTTGGCAGCCTATCAATGGTCTTCTACTGACTTTTACCTTGGTCAAATTGTCTGCTTCTGTTCCCTGTGTAGAGATACTTTGGTAAATGGACTTTATCTATCTGCTGTAGTCTCTAGGTGTTACATGTGGCTTCCTTTTATTATCACTTCATGTTTGTGGGTGTCCCAAAGGCATTTGTATTACAAATTGCCGTCACTCATTTGCTTTTTTGTTGTTGTTGATCTCTCGACCTTCTTTGGCTTTAGCAGCTGTATAGGCTCAGACCATAGTTTCAGAGCCACTCCATTTGGGTTGATTGACACCAACAGCATCGATATAAACCTAGGTGGGGGGAGGTTAGTTAGAGTGAGGTTACAATTATTGGTGGAAACATGATATTCCTTCTCTGCAGATCCATGGGCACTTAGGGTTCTGGTATTGAGGTTAGGCTTTCTATTCCATTATCCTCTCACCCTGTGGTATTTCCACCTATTCCTGACCAGTGGGATGTAGATTTTTGTTTTTCGGCTATCAATTTTACTGATCATGGAGGTGGTAGTGACAGTTGATCCCATTCTTCTGGGATTTTATTCCTGTTTATTTGCTGTGCTTGAGACAAGGGGAGATTTGCAGATGATTATCGTTTTTTCTCATCTCAACCTGTTCTTTGTTTCTCTCTAGTCCACAATGGAATCCTTTCTCACCCTACATTGGCATTCTTCACCAGGTCCATGGATGCACAAGTTTGTGGTTGCTGAGACATTTCTCCACATTTTCATAGTGAATTCATCTTGCCTTTAGCTATGTGTTGTATACAAGTATCAGGTTCTGCAGTTCAGGGATCTAGTCTTTTGTCTAGCATCAGTACCATATGTCTTCTCCTGGGTTGTAATATTTTAACCATGTCTTATGCCTGGCTCAGCCACCTCCCATCCAGCTCCAGGCTATGGAATGGGCAGTCAGGCTCTTACTTGCAGGGAAGGTTCTATCTCTGGGGTTGTGGGCTTCACTCAAATCTCTTGCATTTTTTGGGAGGAGAACACGTGCTATCTCTTCAGTGGTCCCATCCCAACAAATGGATTTGGAACTTCAATACACTGGATTTTCTAGTCTCTTTGTTCAGGAGCAACATCTTAGTTCTTGAGTGGTGTTGGTTTGGATCAGCATTGGTGTGTGTGTTGTGTATATATATATATATATATATATATATATATATATA